GGCAGAATGCGTGGACATCATTAATTATTCATAACCGATAAAGCGGTAAATTTGAACGCTACCCCGCTTTAAGGAGCCCTAAATTAGAAAAGAATGAACCACAATTGGCCCACTAGGCTTCGCAATACTCACTTTTCGGAGTTTTAGAAGTGCGTGCTTCTAAATCAATGCACGGCTTTTTGAAGATTAAATATTTATCTACAATTTGCACCTAAATGAATGATTTTTACGAAGTAGAAGAATTATCCTTTTGCCCTTGAAAATACTCAAAATTAGGTCATTTATGGAATGAAAGTCATTTTCAAGAGCGATTTTTGAAAACCCCTATTACCCACAACAAATCAAAGCACGGCAAATAGAAGTTCAATCCTTCCTCCAACAGAATCCGTTTTAATTTCGGAAATTGGTCGACGGGAACCCCTATCCTTCTCAGTTTGAAAATTTTTAGTCGCAGTTACGTTTAAGCCCAGTCCTGGAATAACAATACACCTGTCAAACTAAACAGCTCCATTCGCTTGTAAAATTTTCACAATTACCGCGAATTTTAAAACTGCTACGCGCATCAGCTGTCAAATCTTCGTTTTACAGACTAAGTTAAATCACGATGGTGTGCATTGACCGACAAACTGTTAGAGATCGGGAGCTCTTTTCAGAGCTCACCGAATCCCCGATCGCTTAGCAATCTGTATACGATCGGAAGCTCTTTTCAGAGCCCGCTGAACCCCTGGTCGTCCCACACACTTTTAGTGATCGGGAGCTGTTTTCAGAGCTCACTGGACTCCCGTTCGCCCAACAAATTGTATGCGATCGGGAACTCTTTTCAGAGCTCGCTGAACACCTAATCGTTCCACAAACTGTATACTATTGGAGCTCTTTTCAGAGCTCTTTGAAACCTCGATCCATCCGATGTTTCTTCACATGGTGCCGTCATACTTTTGTGTTATTAACCCAACGTTTAATTTACAAATAAAGCATGCGCACGACCTCATTAACCCCACAGAAACGACAGCGGTCACTACCAAATCAACCGCAAACAGTTTGTTTCAATCGTACACGAAAATTGGTGACACTGTCCGAACCTGCTACAATTAAACACTCAGAAAAGACATACAAAAAACAACTTTTTCAACTCGCCAGCAATGCTCTCATAGTGAAGAAGAATTATTATTCTAAAGCACTAGAATATCTAAGTATATATCTACAAATTTATACAAAAGGTGATTATCTGTGGGTTTGGCACGTCATTTGGTTTATTAAGTTACATTTTAAATTATAACCCTGTGATGTGCTTTTTGTACCATGAATTTTTACCATCAAACAGTGGCATGCTTCATAATAAACTTTGAAATTTTCAATTAAAATTTATCATCTGCAAGACGGGGTTACCTCTTCTTTGCCTCCTCTGTTATGGCGCGCGCAAACGCCGAAAAGAAAAAGTGCGCAAAGAGTTGATTAGGCAAAGTCTGAGGGCGAGAAAAATAAGAATCTTCTCGTAACAATTTTCTCTTAAAGACTACCTGGAGTGAAAGCAGCGTTCTCATGGTTTACGTATAGTTAAGATTTTGGCGTTTGTAGTTCATGTCAATTCGTGACAAATGTTTTAAAATATTGTGAAATAGGCTTCAGTTATAGCAAAAACAGTTAGCATCCTTTGCCTGTTCACACGGCCGAGTTTTTTGCGTGCGAGATAAGTGTGTTTGCTCTTAGAATGTCGTCGACTAGGTTGTTAATGGACGCGCCACCAATAAGTTTATTGAAGAACACATGCTCAATGATATGTGGCTCCACAGCTCCTAAAGACGTAAGTTTGATGAGTAGCTGACCAAAGCGACCAGACGACTCCGGGCGATTCAAGCGCACGTATTCTTCGAGAGCATTCCTCGTCTTGTTTTGAATTGCTTGGATCTGAACCAAGTCGGTGAGTTGGTCGTTATCTGTTGACACATCAATTGAAGAATTGTTGGTTAAAAGTCGAAATAGTACTTGATCACGTCAAACATGATCGCTACAGGCGCCATCCATTCACATTTAAGTCGTTATTCCAGCCATGGATGATAACAAACTCTCGTCATTTATAGAGATTTTTTTGACATTTTACATAATGGTTATAAAATAAAATGGCCGACCGGCCTGAGGGAGAAATAAATGTTCAGAACGTTACCGACGGTATGAAATATTTGAATTATGTTTTTTAACTGATCCTCGCTCTGAGTTATGAGAGAGAAAAGCTTTATTTCATTTATTACGCAAAAATTGGCGGATGAAATTTAAGTCGAAATCGAATCGCCAATCCTACCTTTGTAATAGGGGAACTGAAAATAAACTTCTTAATTTCCTTTTACCATAAAAACTAAGAGATTTGTCCGTCCCTAAACGAACGTAGGTGTATGTGAGAACATTATCACAAATATGGAGATAAAAAGTCAGAAAATGTTGTATAAACTGAGACAAAAAGGAAAAAAAAACAAAATTCCCAGTTGTTGACACAAAATACACTTTCTACACAGAAACGAAATCACAATTTTATTAGAATGAGCACGTTTGTGGAAATAAGTATGGCACACTTTGATGCTAAGTAAACTTAAAAAGTGCATTATCAGAGAATCGAGATGAAACATTTTTCACTGATAATAATAGCAGGCTTAAAACACTTAGTAAATACTTGATGCCATGTAAGTTAGCGGTAAGCAATTATTATTTTTTCCTTATGTCATTTTCATTCTTTTCTCAAGAGAATGATCAACACTTTTGTTTCTTTTTTGCAACAAAATACAAAGCTTTTGAAATTTTCTTTAAGAATTTGGTATTCCTTTTTGATCTCACAGCAATTAATAGTTAGATATGGTGTTGGTTCTGCAAAGGTGGTCTCCATTTGCTGAAAGAGCTGATAGCGAGTTCGACGCACGCAACAAAAATTTGATATGCGTTTGGCCTTCCATATGTTACCAGCTGGTTATGTGTGCAACGCTTTCTTTCCACACAAACCGTCTTCAAAATTGAAAATTGGTTTTTTGAAAAGCATTAAAGTTCTTTTTTTTTCGATGGAAGACGAGAAACGAAATCTAACGTCAGAAACGGTTCAAACTTGGTTTTTACCTTCCCACATTATAACACTAGCAGAAAATACAAGTCAAAGCAAATAACAAATAAGTTTTGATGAATAGGTTTTTCAAACAAGAACAATAGAATTGTGAGCTTAAAAATGGCTACAAGCTTTTTGAATAAATGTGTCACTAATGAAGAGCTAGTGAAAGAGAGAAACTTTATATTTGTGTAATTATCTGTTGGAAAATTCAATAATAACAGCAGAAGTCATTAAATTAACATCATTGCAAATATACATTCTCGGAGGCAATTTTTAAATCCCAACAGCTTGAAGTCCATCGGGGCAGGGACAAAAGGCGAAGGGCGCGCGTCAAGGTAGTGAACAATTGTGTCACAGTATTTATCATTAAGAGTATGGCTTATCATAAAATTAGAAATTCGCAATTTTGGAGAAAGAAAATTAAACATTTAAAACTAAAGCTACCCCTCGCCTTTAGACAAAGTGAAATACACTTTCTGCAAAATTGAAGTGGTAAATGCCCGAAATATGATGTATTGTTCCAAGGAGATTAACTGAAAAACTTTTTCTTAATTTGTAGGGGAACATACAATATAAAATAAAACAATGAAAATTGCTAAAAAGATAAAGGGCGAAGTAAAAACCTTAAATTGGTGAAGCTGCATGGGTTTCAAACAGAAAAGTAATAAAAACCAAAATTTTATCTGAACCATTGTTAATATCTGCTGATGTCAAAAATCCCTAAACTATAGTATAACTCAGAAGCGATATCAATTATTTTTTTCAAGAAGAAAAGCTGGAAGATTCTCCTTTTCGTCAAGTTCGAGAACGCAGAATTGTGCGATTTAACAAACTACATGGTCCGCCCACCCGTTTTTTAGTGCGATTTCTTAATGGCTTAGGCCAATAAATATATCATACACAGGGCAGAAACCATATCATCTAGACGAGGTAATAAGATTAGTTTTATTTCTGTTTGTGCAGAAGGTGTCAAACAGTGACCAGCCAATTATGTCCCGAGTAAGTCTTAAAAAACATACATGTCTTTTATTTTAGTTATAAAAATGATTTTGCCTAAAAAATTACGAGAAAAAATTTGATTTGGTTATTTTCATTGCTCTGACTTTTCCCCTTTATCTTAACCTTATAATTATTTTACCGAGACGAGGAAAGACACTGCGACTTCCGCGTTAGTAGTTTCGACAGTCGTAAGGAAAGTAAATGTAACTCTTACAAAAAAATAACAGTTTGAATCTTTAATAATAAAAAAAGGAACAAAATAAGGCAAAGGAGAATAACGCAATAATAATAATTTCTGAAAAAGCGAAAAACGTGCTATAAAAATTGAAAGATTTCATATTGAGATTGTTACGTTTATGGCCTTTGAGTTTGCACAATCGACTACTTCCTCTTCCAATATTTCCCGCAGTACAGTTCAATGACTCAGAGCTATAGAAATCGATCTTTGCAGCCTCAATATATTTTTGAGGCAATTACCACACAACGAATTAAAGAATTGAAAACATATGCGGCGAACACTGAATTTTTACCGCGATATAAACATCTCCCTTGTCGAAAACGAATTTGAAGTCATTTAGATTTTAAGCAACTAAAGTTGGCAGACAAAAACTATCAAATTGAAAGTTAATAATTTATTCAAGGCTGCTTTAAGAAATAATCCAGAACGTTGTTTTATACGTAAAAAACACGCACACGAAATTGGAAATTGCGTTAAAATTCATATAAAAACAATTTCATTAGCTATTACGTTTTACGGGTGTGACGCAGAATCAATTGTTGATTTTCATTTAAAAGTCAAAAAAAGGAAAAAAAAACTGTGCCTAATACTTGCATTGAAACACGCAAGAACTTACCCTTGGGCTGAACCTGGGTTCACAATTTATTGTAAAACTCATTTTGCTCGGTTGGGAAAAACACTCATCGTCGTTGTCATTTCCGCAGAAAATCGATTAGCTCATTTTTAACTCGTCAGCCGGAAGGGCCTCTCGCGGCAAAGTCAAACAGTTTTGAATAACCTCCGATTACGGCGAAAGTCAATGTTCAATACTCAACAAATATTAATGTCTAGAACATCAGCCCTCGCACTTAATAAGTTCGCAATCAAATCATTCCCCTAAAAGCTTTGCTAATCCGCATGTTAAGAATATTTCTCTGAGGAGCCGAAAACAGGCTAGCTATGGACAAAATGAAACGAGGAGGGAAATCACGCAATTTCAAATGAAAAAACAGCAACAGACTTCCGGTGAAAGATCATGGCGATAAATTAAATACATTTTAGTTAGCTTGGGCGACTTTCTTTTCCGTTCTTCCGTATTAAAGTGTCAAACGCATGCTAATTTGCAAATTCATGGCGATGGCCTTGAATAAGCGCAAAAGAGATTAACAATTTTTCGAGAATTAATTCTAGCCACTTCATAAACGTAATGTTGTGAAATCAAGAAAAAGGCGTACTTCAGTCGATAATTTGTCGCGCACAACGAAACAATAAGATCAGTATTACCTGAAAACGAAACTTCCCAACAAACACTGTTGATATTAAGAATCTGTAGCCGATATCGTGTTTTTGAATCCGCTATTTACACTGTTTGAGCTATCATGGGTTCAAATATAGACTGGGCAATAGCAGGGTCATAGGCTATGCAACGGAAGGAGGTCATGAACGAGCCATGAACACTTTTGCATCTCGAGAAGGAATCCCACATATAATTTCATTATCAACATTGAAGTCTCAAATTTTCGAGCGATATATCGACTCTGTATTCATCTCTAATTTAACTTGTTTTCAGAAATACGTCTCTTTCTTTTCGAAATTTGAGCGACCCCAAAGCCGGCATAAACTCCGCAGCCAATTTTAACTTTTTAGAAATAAAACAGAGGGAAAAAGTTAATTCGCATGTTGCTCGAAACTCCTCAGTTCAGTTAAAGCGAAACGCATTGTGATCTCCACTCGATACAAATTTCGTTTTTGACGCCCATCGAATAAAGTGAACAAAAAAATTGCCATAGTCTTTCTTACCTGGGTTAAAAAGTACCAGGGCCTTCAAAAGGGTAAACTCTGTTCTGTTCAAACCGAGCTGTACAAGTTTGAAAACAACCTCATTCAACTTCCCCATGTTATGAAGAACTCTATCCACATGTTCGCTCGCTGTTTTTTCCATCACATCAGCAACCAGCGGGGCTAATTCGAAAGGCATCGCCCATTGAACCAGGTTTATGACGAATATTTTACACCAGTTTTCCTGCAAGAGGCTCACTTGGTCGATATGCGACAGTTCAGCGAAGTGGCGAACGTTCTTTGCCCAATGTATTGACATGAACAACAACCGGGCGGCGATCTCTGTGGTGCTTTCGGCTGGTAATTTGGTGGCGACGTGTACACTGCCGCTTTCACTTCTGGCTGCCGTGCTGTCTTCTGCAATCGATCTTGTATCACTTTTTGTCTCCGGCGGCCTTTGATAAGGCTCAACAGCCTGCAAATGGTAAACAAAGTCCGACAAGGACACAAAATCTGCCTCTCTTCGGATATCCCCTTTCAACGGCTGACGGCTACGGTGTCTTTTTCTTCCCTTTTCAAACTCATTCGTTCTGGTTTGCTGTACAGCTGATGAAAACAAATGAAAAAGATTCTCCGTCAGAAGAGAAGAAAAACAAGAGGCTGAGCAAATTACTTTCACCTGTAATGTTGATAAATCTGAACTCATACCTGAACGAAATTAAAGACAATATTTGCGCTACTAAAAAAACGGAAAATTCATCAACAACAAAGCCTTTATAATACCTTGGTCAAATATTTTACCTCGAAATTGTATTTATTATTTCATCAGAGTGAAAATGTTCTTAACTGCGAATAAATTTGACAACTCTTTTACAAGAGATCTGTTTTGGAAATGTTTGAAAAACTTTGCTTCGTCCCTCAGTGTCGAAAGCAGATCTTTCTCTCGGCTGACATTGGCAGCGAAGTTTGTGCAAATATACCACAAGGGAAAAAATGTTTTTCTCTTTCTTAAATAGTCATCCAATTCATTCAAATTATGTGAATCTCATGAGTTACTTTGCCGGGAGACATTTCACCAAACATATTTGGGAGGTTAAACTAGTAATCTATCATCCAACTGAGAGTAATTCCTGACAGACAATGAAATGATTTAGAAAAAGAAAAATAAATGTCAGTTTGCTGCTCACCTTCCCTTTTCATCCCCACCGTTAGACACTTTCTCATTCTGCAATACTGGCAGCTATTCCGAAAGCGCTTGTTCACTGGACAGCATCCTGCCACCCTACAAGTGTAGTACAGCCGTTTCTTGATACTTCGCTTAAAAAATAACTTGCATCCTTCACAAGTATTGGCTCCATAGTGCCGCCCTGTGGAATGATCTCCGCAAACTGAACAGATCTCCATCCGTGGTCGGCTCTGCTCGTTCGCTGTCGCTTATCGTTGTTGCTATGTTATTTTTTTGCACGCTCGAGTGAGCAATCTTAAGCAATGACCTTAGAGACTCTATCAAGCCCCCCTTAAAATTTATAGACATCTATGTATACGGTATTATGTGCTGTTGCCGCCGGTAAAACCATTGCACATGTCACAATTACGAACGGTTATGAATGATTGATTAGTATAGGGCGAATAATTAACATTGAAACATGAGTTGCGCTCGTTTTATTATATTTTTTTTCCGCAACTCTGTTTTCTTTTCATGTCATCTGTTGAATATTTATACCCTCTAACTTGCAAAACAAAGACTGTTTTGACACATAAGGAAGCAGCTTTTTAATATAATGCGACTCGAATCACGTTTTAATACGGTCAAAGTTATGACTTCTTGGGCGCACCAAAAACAATAACGACATCTTCGTGAACCTTTTTTTCTCAGTTTTCTTAATTCATAACTCGTGTCATCAACGGGTCTTTAACTTATCCTGCCTCTATCTAAGAAGTTATGCAGAACTTGTTTATTTTGGTTTTTGAAGAAACATCTAATTCTGTACACGCTGGGAGCGAAGGATTACCACTTTGTGAGAACTTCGCTGTGAAACAATATTGACAGATGTGGCATTCGCACGCTCTTCAAAACAAAACGCTTCGATAAGACACAGCCTTCCGTTTAACCAAGTGGATTCACTATTCACTCAACAGAATATTTAAATTGGTCCTTTTCAAGATAAGATACATACTCGATATCAAACGCAGTGAGAAAAAAAACGACCGATCGGATGAAAATAAGGAGTGTTTTCAGAAAACGTTTGAAAGAATCGAGAGTTTTAAAAGACAAGTCGATTATAAGAAGCTAGGAAAAAAGGTTTTTTTATCGTTACTATAGGTGTTTTCCAAGTAAACGAGAATTGTGATATACAGTAATCATTTGAAAACCGCATGTGAATTTAAAGATGATGTTTTCGCGCTCCGATAAAAGAAAACATTAAATTATGATTTGCAGCTTCGCACGCGTTTATTTCAGAAAATATACTTGTCATTCCGGATATCAAGATGAAATAAATAAAGTCGTAGGCGGTCTCAAGGCAATCAAGGGAAAGTCACGATCAAGGTGTATGTCACTTGATAACAAAGGCCTTCCTTTTAGTCAAGAGGAAGCGGCCATATTGAACTATTAGTAGCCACAGCCCAATTTCCATGCCAATCTCAAAATCTGCAAATGCTTGAGAGCTGCTCGCAGATATATCAGTTAAGGTCAACTAGCGCGTGCTTAATTAACCACCGAGCAATTTTCACATCACGATATTTTAATTCGCCTTAAAGAGACACTCGCTCTTCAAAGAACCACATAACGAGAGCAAATAACAACTTCTTAAAGAAATAACGAGTCGATAATCGATTTCGAATCTCTCGAAGAAAATGACGACTGGATTCCAACGAGAACAGGAAAGTTAAATCAGACAAATAAAAGGCCTATGAGTTTTCCTTTGCCAATACTTGTGATTTGAATTGGATTCAAACGGCGAATAAACATAGATTTCAAATTAAAACGTCGCCAGAGGGTGTTTTGCTTTAGTTCGTCAGCATTCGCGGGAAAATTTGCGCCATTTACCAGCTGTGACCGTTTATGATTTTCTTCATCTATTTAAGTCCCTCACCAGAGACTTTTGAATTTAATAAATATACCATTCGCCCGCCAAAAAAAAATAGTTTAAAACAATTGCAAACTAAGTTAAATTTCGTTTCTTTTGAGGTATTTAGCGGAGTGACTATTTACCCGAAGGCTGATCCAATACTTTTTGCATTAATTTTCATTAAACTGTCGAGCAAATGAGTCCGAATTCTATTTAAGTTAGAGATATGAATAGTTACACTGAAGCACTTTTCATCCCTGATGTCAGTTTTGCAAAAGAAGAAAGACTGTAAAGCGCATCTAAAGTGGTACCTCCAGACCCCAGTCATTTCTTTCATTCGTTAGTTCTAAAGTTCAATACACTCTGCATGTCTTCTCGCTCGCTAAAGCATTGATGCAAAATGCAACCAGCTGGAACAAGATGTTCCGAAAAAATACATAAATTGACTCATGTTTTTGTTCATTCTTTTCTTTTTTATTTCATAATTTGCTCAAGGAAAGTGAAAGAGTTACCATAAATCTTTTGTCTCAGTCATAGACTTGCCATAAATTTTCAATTTGCCTGAACGCTTTACTGTTAAGTTAATTCTTAGACCTGCTGGGAAGTTTGCGTGGACGCGAAATAGAGACAATCTAAATTAGAACTGCGCCAACAAGGGAACAGGAAGATTTATGACTAAGCGTTGTCGCTCACAGCCAGTCCCAGCTTGAACAGTGCGACTCCGCTTAATAAGCTAAGTTGTCAAACAAATCAAACAGACATAAATAAACCGTCTCTCTCTTTATAATTATTTCGTTTTGCGGCAGTATGGTTTGACACAAGCATATTATATTATCCAAGCATTCAATCGAGTTTTTTTGAGGAAAGCTCTCAATTTTAGTGAAACTTTGACGATTCCTTTGTAAAAAACGAACTATCTTATCATCCACTGAAAAACAATTTGTCATCATGATAAAACGTATCAGTTTTGTTGTAAAAGTTTTGCGTAGATACAAGGGTCTCTTTCCAACAGAAGTTCAAAACATGTTATGTATTTCTGCAATTTCTTAGAACAGAATGGAAATTTATTTAGAAAAAATAGTTTATAGGTTAAACAGATTAAAAACCCAGTTTAATATCCATAGTACCCCAAAGATTATAACCGAAAAGAGCAGCAGGGAATCAGTACTAAAGCTGAAAGAGATTTTCTTTGAGAAGTTTTGGTGTATTTGAAACAAACAAAACAAAAAAACAAAAACAAAACACTCAAAAAATGTTAAAAAAAAAACCATAGATTTTCCCTCAGGATATTTCCTAGAGCGGATGATGAATAGATTTAGTATGAAGGTAGTCTTGGATTTGTAGTTTTCAGGATATTAACTTAAAATTGCGATAACGTACCGATGCAGCTCTCTAAATCCGACTCACCCTTGACAAAATTGGTTTACACTTCTTAAAACAATAAGCTTTTATTTGGAGCCTGTAGATGAATTGTATAAATTCTATCAGTGATACACCTGAAAGGCAAGATCCCACACGCTATATGGATGTCATTCATTGACATGTGGATTCACAGGACCGAAACTCGAAAATATTCTTAGCTCAATGAGAGAAACATAAGATGATGAAAAAAAAAATATTAATTTGAAAACTATCCAAACAGCTCGTTGCAGAGTGTGGGCGCCTCTAGATCAGACTTGCAACAAAAAAAATTGTATCCAAGAAGATTGACGAGACCAACTGAGGAAACTAAACCGATAATATTAGAAGGGGAATTATTTAAAGCAATAAAAGATTTATTTATGATCGTGAATTTTCCATTTTATCGTATTCGAGATAAATCTGTAACGATTTATCCTTCAGAATACCATAACATCCTGCGTGAGGATATGGTATATGATAGTAAGCGTCGAAAGGGGGTTATGGGAAGGAGAGAATACTGTAGGGCAAATAACAGAATGTTTCAAAATACTTTGATAACAAACATTGCCTTTCTCCTGAAGTAAGAGTCACACCGCTTTTTATTTCAATAATTTTAACAGTATCCATTATAAGTGCAGTTGTAACTGTACAATGTCAGCGAAACACAAACTTGAATTTGAATTAGCAGTAGCAATTCCTCCGATAACAGTTTCATACTGTGTCTTTTCTGCACGTTGTAAGTCATAAGACTAGAAAACTTGAGGGTTAGCATAGAAGAGCACGGATTATATCAAGTAGGAAAAGGTAAACTACGTTATCCAGATAGAATCAGCTTGTGTTCCGAGATGAGACTCCCCGGGGTTCCGCCAAGATCCCCGCCGGAGTCCATGAGGTTCGTAAGATGAAGTCAAAACTGGCTTTTAAGAAGCACTTCACGCACATGGTTTGAATTCAAAACACCAAACGGGTACCGGATGTCAACACGGGTGACTTAGCAACCCGACAGGAACGAGTTCTGCCAACCGTTTCATTTCACTACAAACCACCGGTAAATAATTCAACTGGTGAGTTTTAAGGACGCAAACTTTGATCGTTTCCTTGTCTTCCTCAAAAAGATTCGCTGCCATGTTGGAGAAGAAATGCTCAAATAATCGCTCTACGCGTCGTTATCTACGAGCGTTGCTGGTGTTGGTCGGCCTGTGCGTAGTGGTGGCAGGAGTAGGATTCTTCTTCAGGGATACGCCATTTGTCCGCAACGTTCAGAGGCGCTTCATGATGGGAAGGTAGAGCATAATGCTATTTACATCCTCAAATTGTGTTTCTACTCTAAGCTAAAGGAATATAGCATCAAAATTTGGTCTCACTCGCAAGAAACATCCAGTACAGACGCTCTAGCCGAGCGTCTAGAAAATGAGCTGTGCCACTCAAAAACTGTCTCGCCATGAATTTTGATGAATTGCCCCCAGATTTAAACGCAACAAGAAACGGATTCTACACTTCTTGATTACTGCAGGTGAAACTATCAAAGCTTGCAAAAAACATAAAATACCCTTTGTGACTTAGCAAAAATTTATCTAAACTCCTGAGCTAAAACACCATAACTACCGTTTTACAGGCGATCTCTATCATTGTTTATGTCGCATTTAACAATTTACAGGATTCAAATAAAAAACATTCAAAAACTATATTTAACTTCAACATTGTTACAATAGCATACAATCGAAAAATTTCCCTTGAATTTCCCTAATCACCAAATTGCCTTTTAGCTTTGTTCAAGTTTGATTCGTTGTTACAATTTTGTGACGCGGATCCCTTCAGATAACCTTTGAGGCACCAGTAACTTTACAGCGACTAACATCGACCATAATTGGCTTGATCACCGCTCTATTGACCCTTTACCAGAAGTGATTGATGCGTAACTTCTCCCTATAATATCCGTACATTATCCAGGAAACAGGTAATGAGACTACTCAAACTTATCAGAAGGTAGTAGAAGTTGTTATCTTCATCTAACACCAAATTCTCTTCACTAATTTACAAGGAAATGTACAACAGCTATAGGGGAGATTTAATCATATCGCTGTGATCTCCATGCGATCGTGATCGTTATAATAATTATGATCGTCAAATAATTCGTGGATGGAGACCATCCCTTTCATTTTTGTACTCGCAAATATCACTCAGTGCAAAACATTGTCTGTCGGAGCGTACCGCCTTGAAGTTTTCAAGAGATGATAAACTTTTAATAATGCTTTCTTGAAATTTCCTCTTGTTTTTTAAAACCTCGTCCACAAGTTCAGTGGAAAATTTTAGTTGAAAGAAAGCTGTTATCCTTTTTGCCAAGAATGTGAAACAGATGAAAAATCTGATTTCCTCACGAGGACTCGAACCACATATCTTCAGATTTTGCGCTCCGACGCTTTACCACCGAACCACTTGGAAGCTCAGATATTTCCTTCATCTCAAGTTCACAACAAAATGAAAAACAATCTTCTTCATTCGATCACCTAACCGAAATGGTGCCATGTTCCTCATTAATTTACACAGTTCGATTCGAGGACGAATAACGGAACAATGACCCCACTTAACTAACTCAATAGAAACTTTTACACAAAAAGAAAAAGACTTAAGGGAGCCGATGACAAACAACTGTGGAATCAGGAAGCTGAATAAATGCTAACTGACCATTAAGTTTTAAGTTTTTCTAAAACGTTGCTTAATTAGCGTGATTACAGAATTAAGTTTACTACGTTGCTGCATGATGGAGAGATTTCCTATTAAGTGCTGAGCAAAATCCAGGATGGCTTTCGTTTTGCTCTATTTTGCTGTATGATTGGTCGACAAAACTTGTGCCACGTTCTCAACCAATCAGATCCAATATTAAAACCAATCGCGATTTGGTCACTAGCGTTTTCCCGCGCTAATGTAAGTTCTCATTGATTTCAAGTGATATTTTCCTGTCTTCTGATTGGCTGTATTAGTAAGCTTAATTTTGGTTTTGCGGAACTCATTCAAAATAAGCCCTAAGAAATTTTTTTCTATGTTCCGTCTTTTCTGCAGTGCAGTAAAAGCCAAACTCCCAAACAAGCAGCACTTTTATCAACATGCCGCTGTGGCTGCTGACAATGCTGAATGCTCTAAAATCGGTCGTAACATTCTAAAGAAAGGAGGTTCTGCTGTTGACTCTGCGATCGCAGCCATACTGTGTGTTGGTGTAATCAACCTGCATTCCACTGGTATTGGGGGCGGTGGGTTTATGATGGTCTACGACAGTCACAAGCGGTCAGCAGAGATGATTGACTTCAGAGAGACCGCGCCTCGACGAGCCGGGGTAGATTTATTTAAAGGAGATCCAATGAATGGGATTCTAGGTAAGATTAAGTATGTTTGTCGAAGAAATTGCATGTATGTTATTGAAGTTTACTCCACCGGAAATGGGACACTGGTTGGCTGGTGAGGTTCAACGAAGGTTTCAAACGACCAATCAAAATGATAAACTAAACAAAGAAAACGACGAAAGCGTTGCGGAAATTTCAATTTCAGAACGTGTGACGAGGTGGGAAAAAGGTTTGGACTTGAGATCCATGAAACTGCCAGTCACACTCGCTTCACATCAATTGTCTGTCGCCAAAGACTATCTTGTGAAAATCATCTCAGCCGATCACACAATCCACGATCCACTTTATCGCAAGCGGTGTAGCATTCATACGGCTGTCGCAGACATGAACATTTGAGTGTTGCGACACGATAAGGTATGGATCCCAATTCTTTGAGATCGAGTCCTTTTACGGCAAAAATTCTCCTTCCATCCATTACTTATCAATCATTTCAGCTTGAAATTTTCAAACTTATTGTGAATGTGCGACTTTTCAAGAATGTAGAAAATAGCTTTATTGGAAAGAACAGCATCAACAATCACTTTTCAATTCTAGGTGGCTTAGCAGTAGCAGTTCCTGGTGAACTGCGAGGCCTGGAGGCAGCTTGGAAGAAATACGGCAAGCTACCGTGGGAAGAATTGTTTAAACCAGCCATTCGCATTGCGAAGAAAGGTTTCATCATTCCAGAGACAGTAGACATAGCAATTGGCATTTGGAAAAATCTCCTAATGAAGGACAAGACATTCAGGTGAGATTAGAAATCATTTTATTGGGGATAACAGAATGATGATTGTCTGCTGTTTTCTTGGTTCTGATCGCTTTCTGGAATGTTTCATTCATTTATTCTATGATTGAATGACTGACAGGTTGATTGATGGATTGATAATCCATCGATCGATCTATCCTTTGATACAAATGTATACTGATCTTTTGATCAACGGATAGACTTATCGATTCGTCGATTAATCGACTGATTAACAAATTACGTGATTGGATGATATTTTTTTGCTGTCTCAAGTGACTGTTCGACCATCTAATTAACTAATAAATGAATTTCTTATACCTCTTATACCTGCTTCTCCATTTTTTGAATTTTTTCCAAGCAGTGCATGTTTCTTCACACATTAGAATTTGATCAGCTGTTCAGTCAGTATAACAGAAACGATGCTTTGATTGGCTGGTTGGTCAATCATATCATGCGCGTTTCGACACAAAACACTCCGAACTAAAAAATACCTACGCTGATAACATTTTAAAAAGTTTACAATATAAGCAGAAAGGTCACAGACTACAGTTCAGACTCCACATTTTACCATTTTGATTTACACAGACGTGTTTTTGCCAAAAATGGAAAGCTTCTTCGAAAAGGAGACCTTCTTAAGAGACCGCAATTGGCTAAGACACTACAACTTATTGCACGAGCAGGAAGCGCAGAACCATTCTATAACGGACCAATGAGTAAATCAATAGTCAAAGAAGTGCGTGCTGCTGGAGGGGTGTTGACCTTGAAAGACCTCAAAAACTACAAAGTTGAGTTTCGCCCTGTGCTAAAAAGCAAGTTGGACGACATGACGTTACTCAGCACTCCTCCACCAACCGCTGGCCCAGTGTTGGCCCTGACTCTGAATATCTTGAAAGGTAGGCGGCTGACCTGTACCATGCCGTTAGAAAAATTATACGCAAAGTTTAAGCCGGGTGGATAAAAATTGCACTAGGCAATGAGGCTTGCATTCATATGACACAGACTCAAATGCATCCGATTGTAAAGGCTGGAAAATGGTAGACTACGTAATGTAGGAAAGGGGGAGGAGGTTGCTCCTGATGAGATGTAGACGAAAAATAGCATCCTGTCAAAATAACCGTAAAAGTACAAACAAAAAAAATACAGTAAAAAGTACCATAAGTTGTCCCACAGAAATAATCTCCATTCCACCTTGTCCACAGTGACGTCGACACTAGTGAAGTGTAATTTTACTATTGATCTGCAACAGCACCACATCTTCGGGACTGCATCATCCTGTATTCTATTTATCAACCTTTTTTACTCCCTGTCTTGTATCAGAACACGACTGAGCTCATTAATTTCCATGCATTTCCTTTATACCAAAGGGTATAAATTAAAGCAGAGAGATCTTGAGGATAACCCAGTGAGAACATATCATCGCATTATTGAAGCATTTAAGTTTGCGTACAAGTATCGATCATTGTTAGCTGACCCTAACTACGAGAAAGACGTCAATAAGGTTTGTGTCGATAATCAATAAATTCTGCTCTATTGGTATGTGTTATAGTATATTGGTCGTTGCGTGACGCACAAGGTATTGTTGTGTTACAATACGTTGGTCCTGTAGCAACCCACAAAGTTTTGTTGAGTCACGCGGTAGGATGGTTTTCGCATGACGCTCAAAGCATAGTTGTGTTACTCGAGTAGCAAAAAGTAAAGTCGAGTTAAAATAAGTTAGTTTTTTCGTGATTTGTAAATAATTCTAGCTGGTGGGGATCCTCTGTAAAAGACAATTGGCGAATGTTTAGTGATATCATGATCTTCCTACAAAATCTAAAACTCTGATTACCTATCTGTGTTTTTACCAGACCGTGAAAGAAATGATGAGCACAAAACTAGCCGACGACATCAGACGCCAAATCACGGACACCATGACGCATTCTCAAGATTATTATGGCTCAAGGTACCATGTACCCATCAAAACTGGAACGACAAGCTTGTCAGTGTTGGCTGCAAATGGAGATGCAGTCTCACTTACAAGCACCGTAAATGGATAGTAAGTAACTGGAGCTTGAATTTATGACACCGCGTGTTCCTTTCTTGGTTCTTTCTTGCAATACTTATTGTTATCACCAACAGCGAATCAATACCCACCTTCTTATTTTGGAAAGTTTTTAATCAATCAAAACGCTTGCACGCAACTGGTCTGTATACCGAGACCGCGTGACTTAATAATCTCCGGCTAAAACTAGAAAACTCGCCATAGGGAAATTTTTCGCTTCTCTGAAAAGAGATTGTTGGGAGACAGATAATCGGGCATAATCAGAATTGTGTCCAAATAAACATAATTCTTAAAACCAACAGCGACGATAGGATATACAAAAATGTATCTCCCTATTTATCAGAATTATAACCGTCTTTAATCACAAACAAAAGTATAAGCTCGTGTTATAAAAATAGGACGTTGGGGGCACAAAATGCGTGCAAGAGTGACAGACATGAAAAACGGGCAGTTGTGCCAGAAGAACTTGAGTAGCTGACAAAATCTTCGAATTAAAGATTCAACTATTGGAGCGCTAGCCACTTGATTTTACAGAATACGCACAAGAGTGACATATATGGTGACGCTTGTTCTTAAACGTCAAAAAAAAAAACGGACTGTTGCGCTGAAAGAACTTGAGTAGTTGAACAAATTCTCAAATCAACTTGGAGCGCCAGCTTCGTGAGTCCAAGGATATCATTGACATTACCTTCTTTTCCTTTGCTGCAGTTTTGGAGCCAAGTTTCTCTCAAACAAGCTTGGCTTCGTCTACAACAATGAAATGGACGACTTCAGTGCACCGCACGTGACAAATGAATTCGGACTTCCGCCATCTCCTGTCAATTTCATCAAACCGGGCAAGAGACCACAGTCCTCAGCCGTGCCCGCGATAGTACTGGATAAAAAAGGAAATGTCTTAATGACGATTGGTGCTGCTGGGGGTACCATCATTACAACATCTGTTGCGCAGGTAAGCTTGAGTGGAGATACAATGAAATACCGCATATAGAAATCTTTATCAAGTGCTGAGTAGCTAAGGCATAGCGGTCTACAAGTATGACATATTTCTGATACCTGCAACCCTGCACGCAACAGTTTGGTCATGGCAACAATATTGGAAATACTGCACGCAATAAATATCATATCTCAGTTCTCCAGCGTCACATGAGGTCCATAAATTCCAAAATTGAAACAAGACATGATAGTTTTGATTTGTCTTTTTTCCGCAGGCGATAATGAACTACTTTTGGTTCAAGAAAAATCTGCAGACCTCCATTACAATGCCGCGAGTACACGACCAGCTCTATCCTAACTTTGTATTCGCTGAGACTAGGTTTCCAACAGAGGTCGTCAATGGCCTCATTTCCTTGGGACATAAGGTTTGTAGATGCGTATACATAGAGAAAAGTGTGTCCGATGAATACCGAATTTCAGGCTCGGCCTTCGCTCTGCGGCCAAGAAAACTCGCGCCACTTTCTCAACCGATCAGATGCAAAACTAAAATCAATCATAATTGTGCAAAAAGTGTACAAAGCATTTTTCTACTGAGTGACAAAAGTAATTCAGGATTGCGCTGGTGTTACTTTATTTCGCTTAGTGATTATTGGAAGTACCTCATTCTTTCTTTCCCACAGCGAAAATGTTCTTTTTCTCCAGCATCAAAGCGAACGTCTCTGCGCTTATTCGCTCGTTCACCGTTTGCTTTGATGTCCTCTCCCAGCTCGCATAATCGGCGTCTCACATATGGGAACTTACACGAAGGCTAACGTTTTTGTTACATCTGATCACACAGTGATGACAAAATTATTTCAGTTATTTCCTACTCAGGAACATTCTTCAACATGTCCTTTCAAATGATTGCAATTGTATTTTCATTTTAGGTCAACGTGAGTGATATAAGTCACGGTGTGGTCCAGGGAATTGTGAGAAATCCCCACAAATACAAACTAATTGACAACCGTGGAAAAAGAAAAGGATATGTGTACGGCTTGGTACCACAGATCTACGCAGAATCTGACTACAGGAAAGGAGGACAGCCCGCTGGATATTAAAACATTATTTGCCTTCTCACTAAACGACGATTTGCTAAAGGATTTATGAAATACTCACAAAAAAATGAGGAGCATTTTGAACTACAAGGATCATTTGAGACGTTACACGTTTGCAAAGTCAACCAAGTTGTAATATATTGGATAGGTAATTCTGTATTGGTCCAAGGAGTAAGACAAAATGTTAATCTCCACTTCGATTTTTGAACCATGCATGAGAAACTCTCTGAAAACTCACCTTTTGTAGCTTTCAGAACTTTCAGAGCAAGAATTTTGAGTCGTTTTTCGCGTAAGTTCATTTTATAGTAGATGACATAAGTCAATTTAAGGTTTTGGAATAGGTACCTACATATAGTACAACAAGCCACAACGAATGTGAATAAAAACTGCGTTTTCCACCAGTTCAAACTAGTTTTTATCTTTCCTATGAAGATTATTGCATTGGATGCATACTGTTTGTCCTAATAGTATCAAAGTCGTGGTGAACTTTGAATCCTGTTCATTCTGTTTTGGCCAAAATCAGCGAAACAGAAATCTTCAGATACGTCTTATGATGTTTTTTCCATTTCTGCTAACTTTGAACTTCAGTAACTTTTGACCAAAACAACACATTCAGTGAGTTTCAGCCGCTCAATTGATCAATCACAACAAAATGTGATGTCGATCCTGAAGTGTCTTGTAATGTTTTGACTTAATGATTTTTACACGCGTCATTAGCCACTTATCACAGATAGCAATAACTCTAGCAGTGGCTCTGGCACGGTTGACTTCAGTGGCCCCTGGTGCATAAAATAATTGTTTCAGCCCAATAATCTGCAAAGTTACTCTAAATAAGTTTCCTTCCCGGCTACCTAGTTCCCTTTCTAACCGTTTCTTCGATGGGAGGTTTCCTCATACACTTCTCGCAACTTCTTAATGCTGGCTTATTTAAACAAAGTTTAGCCGTTGTAAACCATCTTACATTTACTTTTGTTTACAAAGTCAAGAGGGCCGAAAGCTGACATTGGAAAGAACATTTATTTTATTAAATCGATCCTCATAGACGGAAAAAAGTAACTGAGTTCCCTGCCCTCGTGTAAATAACCGACCCTTATGCCTCCCCTTCAGAGTGTTTTTTTCCACCAGCTATTTTCCCCTAACATCCTTAACTGTCCATTGGAGCAATGTTCAATGAAATGTTCGCATTATTGCGAACCTGCATTGGATTTTCTTATCTACGCTGTATCATTGGTCCAGAAAAATTGCGCCGTCTCCCATCCTAAATGAAGCTAATTGATCACGTGCGTTGCCGCGTTTGAATTGGGGCTAGTTTCACTATTGACGTACTTGAGTTCTCGTTGACTTCTTCAAGTTGTGGTTATGACCTTTGTTAGTATAACTGAATGAGGAAGACACTTTGGTTTTGGAATTAAAAATAAGTAACAGCCTATCATTGAATTTAAAATTTTAGTCGTAAACTGCGCATTTTACAGTAAAGTTTTTATTTATTTATTATTTGTTCATTTTACTAAGGTTTGGTGATTTATGTTATAATGAATAAATTACAGATGTACTTTCTTTAGAAAAGTTTTAAGGAGGTGTCGAGTAAGAAGTATAATACTCAAAGTAAATAACATATGATGAATCATGGCTGAGAAGTTCTGCAATCTAACATATTAAGATAAAGATTCCACAAACATTACTATCCCTACTGGCCTGAGTTGCAGCTGGCACAAGCTTTTGAAACATATCATGAAATGTCATTAAAAACCACTCTTATTCAAGTCAAGGTGGATTTATAGTCTAAGAACTTCCAATTATGAGTTTTCCTGTACGTTTCCTTTTGAAAATTTCATTGATTAGTACCGGCCTCTTTCTCTTAGGATTAAGTTTAGCTGTCATCTTTGAAATATTCACCCTAAATATCAGAACTTCTCCAAGTTGAGAGGCCAAGACTTCGATAACGTCGGGTGTTACTGATCAATCGAGCCAGTTTATCCCGTTTAGCTCCGGGAGCGCTTGGAGACGGATTTTCTCCCGATGACACCCGTAACAGCGGCTCTTTGAAAACGGCACTTTGCCCTTTTGAGTCCACGAGTCTACCAAAGTTACTGACATTCAGTTCACTGAGTTTTCCCTGGGTGCAAATTCCGGGATAAATAATCTTCCGTCGGACTGGCGAGTTCTGGGCTGATTTCTGTCGGCATCGACACATCTGATCCCGAAGATTGCTGTCGAAAAAGCTGTACACCGCCGGATTGGCGCACAGTTTTCCCAAAGCCAGGAAACAAGCGAAATCGCGAAAAATCTCAATGCTTTTTTTCTTAGGATTGCCAACAGTCTCGAGAGCGTAAATCGCCGCTAACGGAGCATAACAAAAAATGAAAGTAGCCATTACAATAAGGTTCATTACTACTGATTTTCGTTTAGCAAGTGGAACTGCGTTTGATCGCAGAGAGCTGGTGAATCGGCGGTGAGTATTGATAGGTACGTCTGGCTTACCTTCGCGGGCACCAAGTTTGCTTACGGGATGAGTCACTGAATCGGGCTTAAGCAGCCTACTCACAACTATGAAATATGTCACAGTCATAATCATTATTGGCAACAAAAATATCGCCCAGAGTTGAACCAAGGAATAAAGCTTGTCTTTCCAAGGCAAAGCTAAGTGCTTGTCACAGCTGAACAACAAAGCTTGTGGTTGGTGTTTCGCTCCCAAGAAGTAGTACAGTACTGGGTTAGCGAACAACAGCGCGTAACACCATGCAAATACGCCCATGTATTTAGCCTGTCGACGGGTTATTTTCGACAGTGGATAAAACACGGAATAAAGCCTGTCCATGCTTATCATTAATAAAGTCACTGTTACCGATCCTAGAGCAACCGATTGGGCGTATTCCAATAATTTGCAGACCGTTGGTCCTCCAAGCAAGTACTCCCCTACAATCTCACGTTCTATCTTTAGCGGAATCACAAAGCACGCAATGGCAAGTTCTCCAATGGATAAATTCACGATAAGGCTGTTCATGGCAGACATCCTCGGAGATCGCAGTCCGCAGTAACAAACCAACACGTTGCCAGTGGTAGACACGACCAGGATAAGCGACAAGGCGACTACTTTTCCAACGGCCATGGTTTCATGATAAGCCGAGCTTTGAGTTCCTGTAGCGCGTGTCATAATAACCGTCCAGTTTGATGAAGGATTCATTGAAATTTAATCCACGCGTCGAAAAACAGCATCGGTTGTTTCAGAGTTGTCCCTCTTACAGTGACTCCGATGAAGGGTTCATAATTTACACGGCCGGAAGACCAGGGCGCTTCAAATGCATCAGATGTTGCTTTCGAGAGCGTAGGAATTCTATGGATTGAGAGATATTTGCTATGGATGACACGCTTGCCAGGTGGCGTGATATTTTGGCGGGTGTTTATCCCGCCACGTCAGTAGAGCACCAGCGCCGCACCCCGTGAAACTGCAACGGAACATGCGCAAAATGTAACGACTGCTAAAACAAGTCGGATCGTGGGCTCTGAGGTTTGCAAACTCAAGTGTGAGATATCTTTATGCTCAGTTGATGATTCAAGTTAAACGTTTTTTTCCATAGAGGAAAGACTGTGAATTGTTTGGATGAAATTGTACTAGAAAAAAGGGAGCTAGTGGAAAAAGAGACAGCTTTCTTTTCTTGTGTGCAATTAACAAACGAAACTAGGAAAGGAAACAATAATTCATGCACCGACGAAGCGATGAAAATTACGACTTTTCTTTACGGTTCTTGAGCTTTCGATTCTCTAGGTATCTAATCATAACCTCCAAGCGTAAATATCTAAAAGCAACAATTGAAACAAACTGACATTAATCAAAGTCTACTAACCTCAAATGTGTGACGATTTAACGGAATCATTGAAAACAAGAGTTGCCATCTTTCCATGTGTCTTAAGAGGAATGGTTTCATAGAAATGATTATTTCTTTTTTGAGACACGACCTATCAATCCCAGCATCTTCAAACGGATTTCATTTTCCAGTTCACCTTCATATATAATTAATCATGTAATTATTGTTGCGATTACTCGCGCTACACAAGCGTAATATAATGACTGTATGCATGGTGAAGTCCTTCAGATCACTGAGTTTTGCGTGTGTGTAATGAGTAAGAAAAAAGATATTTCTCAGGTCAATGATTTTGAATTCATGACTTTGTTCTCTGCTAGGCAATGAAACATTGTATCATTTAAGGTAATTATCGACTCTCAATAAAACGAATGAATAGTGGTATCTATCTAAGCCGCGAATACCTCTCAGAAGCGCTCCTCATTCCCTAAATTTATACAAGGCAAGCGCCCGGGGCGTTAATTCAAAGAATGCGGATGGTATTTGTGATGTATAGCAAAAAGAAAGTTGTGCCCGGTTGTCTGAGGAAATTACAACACTAACTTATTCAATCATAGGATTAACTAAATTGCAATGGAAACTCGATGGAAATAGATTTTCTTAAGGCAGGGATTGCCTCTCTTTTTCTGAGGTATCGATTAACAGTCACCGAACTTTCCATCGAAATTCCTGCAATCTTCCCATATTTTTTTGTCTTAATTTAACACACAGGTAGCCTAGCTTGAGCCCCAAAACGTCTGGTCCCCTAAAAATACAATGCTATCTTTGCCCCACGAGTCGGATCCTGTAATGGTTATTTCTAAATCATTCCGGAATTTCTCGAATGGGAGATGAACTAAAAATAACTGAGTAATAAACAATGTAATCTGTTATGATTAACCAGAAACTCGAATCTTTTAAATTGAATACTTTCTTGTGACATTTTCCCGACAGAGAGATGGCTTCACATGCTCACTGAATGCGAACATGGTTCAAAGCTACCCACTAGTTTGCATTAGAGCATGTTTCCCTTACTGTTTACTTACACCCACCCCACCAAATCGGATAATCTTCTCCCGACCCGACCCGACCCAGCAGCTTAGTGACCTCCCGTCCAATGACGTCACTCGGGAGAGTTTGTTTTGAGCGGTGAAATAAAATGCATTCACCTAACGAAACAAAAACAAACGCTTCTCGCCGATGTGGACGGAATCTCTATGGGAAATAAGTGAAGATCTAGTCATGGAGGACAAATAGCAGTGATGTTGATGGATCCTTTTGACAAAGGACAACAGAGTCCTCGCAAAGCCCAGTCGTTTGGCGATAAATTGGCTGCTTTTTCGTCTCGATCGCTCGCCAGATATCTCTCTGACGAAGTGAATATATCCGGCTCTTTCATCTCACAAAGAACAAGTATTCTCCAGGATGTCAGAGCAAGTAGGTGAATTTGTGTACAGCAAGAAAGACTTTATTGGACATGGAGCTTTTGCAGTCGTTTTTAAAGGACATCACAGAAAGGTAACGTACAATGTACTTTTCCACGGCTTTGCGAAGACGAAATAATTTCTTTGATCGTTCGCTTTCCGACGCGATTCGCTTTTGGCCGAGTAGTTTTCCGAGTTTGTTTTTTTTTTTTATCTAAGAGAAAAGTGTCGAATAGATTTCCGAAGATGGAATAACCAAAGTTTTGCCTTACCAGCGAACAAATGTGAGCCTATGGGTACATATCTTTGACATTTATAGTCTATGCTTTCATTACGCAAATTTTTGTTTTGATATCGAGCAAACCATCACCTCGCTCGTCATTACATTTGCTTAGTTAATGGTCATAAAAAAATCGGTGAGCCTCACACAGATTTACTAGCGCTATTTTACATGGTTTAATAAATCCCATAGGAAACGCGCCAAGTATATCGCAGCAGAGAAACGCCAACTGATGCAAGTTTTCCTTACGTCTGTGTCCTTTTGACTTCCTCTCTCACTGGTTGTACGTGACGTTAGCTGATATTTCTCTTTATTGCAGAAAGATGACTTCGTGGTAGCTATTAAGGTCATCGCAAAGAAGAATCTCTCCAAGACTCAGAATCTTCTTGCAAAGGAAATAAAAATTCTAAAGGTGAGAGAGGGATAACTTTATCGTAGAATTTATCTTATGCAATACACATTCATTTTGCAGAGCGAGGTTTTTGTCTGACAAGCCATTGTTAATTGCGTGATCACAAGACACAATATATGCCCAAGGGGAAAGTTCATTGAAATAATAGCAATCCTTCACGCAGTTGTCATGTGCAGCCAGCTTAGTGATTGCCCTTGATCGAGCGGTCAAACTTCAATATTGGGTTTCTAATATTCCCGTTAAGTATCCTTGTTTTGAAAAGTGAATTTATCCCGCGTAATTTAAGACACTGTAACTTAGAAAACCTTTTTCTTGCGTGCTAAAAAGTATATGTACCTACTTGTGAACAATGTTTATATCTTTCATTTTAGGAACTTCATCACGAAAATGTGGTTTCTCTTTTCGACTGTCAGGTAATGATGGAATTATAAATATTTTCGATTTATAAGAAGAATGATGTGTTTGGAATTTTGGAAGATTGCCCAGAATGAAAGAATAAGATACCGACTACGTTTTTTTCAGAAAATTATTTCATACTTGCGTGCCGTGTAAATTGATCTAGTTTTAAGTAACGTCAAAATAGAAGGCAATGTCGAAGCCGTTGTCAAACACTTGTTTTTTCCACCTTTTAGGTTCAAATTTTCCTCCACTATCTCTACCCCTTTGGGTTTGGAATGTATAATTTGATTTACAAGCCTAAAATAATAGTCATATTTTGGGGAAAATTAAGCCTGCCTTTATCCAAGACACTGATTGTGGTCATGTTATGTGGTTTATAATTTTAGCAATACTATCAATTTTATTGTAAAGGTTGCAAGTTTTTTATATGATAATGATCGTTGAATGCATATATTCTTTAGGAAACATCCAATAATGTCTTTCTTGTTATGGAGGTTAGTCATCTTTGTTTGTTGGTTGTTTTTTCTTTGTAACTAAAATTTATGTCATCAAACTATTTGACACACTTTGCATTTAGTACTAAGTGTGCCAAGGCATCATAGACCAAAGAATTTTCTGGCCGCTTTGCAGAGTATTTCAGCTAAGTTTCAATGGTGTTTGGTGTTTTTTATTCAGGTATGCAGCTATTATATCATATGTTCTCTTATTGTGTTACCTTATTCCCTAACTGTTTGAAGTTTTCCTTTCTAAATATGTAATTCATGACTTTTTCTAAAGGATAAAGAGGATCAGAAGCCCCCTTTGCAACCCTCTGTAAAGTTTTGAGACATTGTGCTGTTATGTTGCTCATTTTCCTTCTGTTTTACAACTCTCTTGCGTCTCAATGTTGTAATAAAAATTCTGGTGTTATACTCTAGTTAAGCAGTAGTGTTTCTTGATTCAACAGTATTGCAATGGAGGGGATCTTGCAGACTACCTTCGTGGTAAGAATGTTCACTTCAGTTACAATGAATAAGTTATCAAACTTAAGGTACATGTACATATACACTGTTACCAAAAGGCTTATTGACCCTTTAACCCCTAAGAGTGACTAACATCTAGTTTCTCCTTTCAATATCACCCTTGAATCCAACATTAATGTCATGAGAATAAAAGAAATGATCACTGACTGAAGAAGTTCTCAGTTGTTAAACAGATTCTCCTTGTTAGGCGCTTAGGAAATATACAAGGAACAGTATAGAGAATATGCATACTGATGTTAGGGTGTAAAGGATTAATGTTATAAACAAGTCTACATTATTCCTTACAGCAAAGGGAACCCTCAGTGAGGATACAATCCATATTTTCTTACGTCAGATAGGTATGGTTTTTCATTGATTTTTTTTATTCCTACAGTTGATATTTGAAATAAAATTTACATTGTTTTTTACAGTGTAGCTGGAATATAGTTGTTATGTATTTACTCTGACTTTTGACGATATTCAATTTGTTAAATAATTTTGGTTCTCCTCAGCTTCTGCCATGTGCACACTGCAATCCAAAGGTGTCGTGCACAGAGATTTAAAGCCTCAGAATCTACTGCTGCATCATGCAGGGACAACCACTCCCTCACCATCACAGATCAAGATAAAGATTGGTAGGTTTTGCATGGGTGTTGCTTTCCTAGCTTGTGAACAGCCACCTCAATCATTAACCTCATGGTGTCAACCTTCTTCATAAGGAACTTTCACCATGATAAGCCACAACGTCTCGAATTCTTGCAGTATTCTGTAGCAAGCATTCTTTTCACAACATAGAGTTACTAGCCACCTCATTATTTTTTCTTTTTCATTTGGGTTTGGGACTGGCAATGGGAGAGGTCTAAGGTATCTACTTTTTGTATTATTGTACTGTTACCATTTATTTTACATATTCTGAATTGTTGTTTTAGCTGACTTTGGGTTTGCAAGATTTCTCCCTGGTGAAATGATGGCAGCTACTTTATGTGGATCTCCTATGTACATGGTATGTATAAACTGCTGAGATGTTTTGAGTTCCTGAGTTGCATGAACTATTTTAATATGTGTTTCTCTGGGTGCTATTTAGAAAAATGGTTTCACCCTTAACTAAATTATTAGTGGTGAAACAGTCTTTGTGAGTGAAAATGGTTCATTTGAAACAATACTGCTGCTGTTTTGGACTTTGTAGAGTTCTTCTAAATTGTCATTTCATGTATTTGCAAATAAGCAGAGAATAAAAGAAATAAAACAAATTAAACTACATGTAGTCAGCAATTATTGGTAGAACTCTGTGTTTAAATAATTTTTTGTACCATTTTTCATTATCACTAAATGACATGTGGTCGAAATTTCAGTTCCATATCACACTTTTGATATATTCATTTACCATGTTTATTTTCCTTCTTTGTCATTCAAGGCTCCTGAAGTTATAATGTCCAAAGGATATGATGCCAAAGCTGATCTCTGGAGTGTAGGGACAATTGTTTACCAGTGTCTCACTGGTAAAGCCCCCTTTCAGGTGCTCTTATATACCATCATATTAAAAAGCCAATTGTGACAAACTTTATCAATGTTATATAATATCAATGATTTTTTCCAATTTTGTCATTTTCCAGGCAAACAGCCCTCAGCAGTTAAAGAAGTTTTATGAAAAGAGCAAATCTGTTTCTCCAAAGTGAGTGGCAAAATGGCAAGCTAACAATATTTCAATTCTTTGTATATCTTGATCTAAAAGTACTTCAGTCTGTGCCTGCTTGTTTGTTAGATACAATCTGATTACTGTACTAGTAGAATATCATATTTATTTCATGCTTTATCAATACTGAGTCTTATTGTATCCATGAATAGTAAACAACCGTTTTTTTGTTACCTCAGTATACCAGCTGGTACTTCAAACCACTTGAAAGACCTACTTATTGGATTATTAAAAAGGAATCCTCGTGACAGGCTGGATTTTGGTAAATAATTTTTATATCTTTGTTTAATTTACTGAGAAGTCTGTTAAAAAACACAAAGATTGAAGGTGAATTGTATGAGGTGGATTGAGGCTAATATGTATAAGAAATTTTTTAGTTTCCTCTAAAAATGATGGTGTTTTCTAATTTAACCACAAATCTTTTTATTTACTCATGTGCAATCAATAACTCTAAGTTTATAAAATGAGTTACTGCTGCTGTTGATAATCTGAGAACAAGGCTGAGCACAGATGAGAGAAGAGAACAGAACCATTTTGAGCTGAAAATTTTTTTTTAAGAAAGTGAGTTTCCGAGGCTGTGTTAGACAAAGTTTCACTCTGGGCACATAATACATCTACATGTACATTTGTTTCCCAAAGAAATGCAGAATTCTTGTTGGAGGCTTTCACAGGGTAATTTTCAGGGGAGGGGAGGGAGGGGTTGTGTGAGGATTGTACAATTTCAAGTTGATATGGCACCCTTAATGTGTTTATCATTTAAGTATACCATCATTAACTTGTGTATCAAGCACCCATCAGGGTAATGATTATTAAATATATATTAACTTATTTTTCTGTTTACAGGTGAATTCTTTGCTCATCCTTTCTTGACTGGCAGAGTTCCCCATCGTGCATGTATGCAAAAACCTACATGTATCTTACTAATAGTGTTAATATAGGCAAATACAGCTGTAGGCAATTAACTGGAGCATAGAAAGTAAATTGAGCAAGATGTTTGTTTTAGAAAGAAATTCATACATGTACACCTGTCTGTGAAAACTTTCATTATGTTGACGGTAATCCCTCTAGAAATACAATTGACTTTATAATTGTAAAAGCAACCTACAACTGTAGTTTAACCTAAGATTTAAATGGCAGAAATAATTTATTAAAAATATTAACATTTTTGATATTTTAGACTCAGTAAACTATCCCTATCCTGGAAATGTCCATGGACAGCTTTTAAAAGAATTGGATAACTTTTGAAATTGTTTTAACATTTGATTTTTCAATATCTTTCCACATGTATGTAGCTACCCCAGTTGCTGTCCCAGCTCCTCAGCGTAAACACTCTGGCAGTTCTCATGGAACAAGGTCACCTTCCTATTCCCCAGTAAGTGTGCTATTATCATTAACATTACTGTAAAATCATTTGTTCTTGTGTAGGAGCTAGTGCATAGTCTAAATAGCTGTTTAGAGAAGGAAGGCCATCAAAGTAATCAATTTTCCGTATGGACTCAGCTCCAATGTTCACAGGATGAGTTTTCCTCTACATGTAGTAGATAGTTTAGTAAGTTTTTTTAGGGACACGTAACCCTCAGAACAGGGATTTATGTGGGAAACAGTGTAAAGCAACCTACATGTATATGTACCAACTACCTGGGCAAGAGACATACTTTTAAACACTAGATTTTTCTGCTAATGTTACAAATCTATTTCTTGGCAAGAAACTACTGTGACAATCACTTACATGTAATGTGAAAACATGGTTAGCCAGTTGGATATGCAGTGTAAGAATGTCAAAATAACTAGCACTTTAATCCAGTCCATAATTTTGAACAAGTTTCTCTCCTTATTTTATAAGTCATATAAAGTCACCTGTTAGTGCCCTTATGTTTCTTTTTCTTTTTTATTCTCTGAATTTAATTCAATAGAACTTTGGTGCAGAAGCTTTGGGTGACATAAGAGTTGATCTTCTTCATCGCATCACTCCACCCTATGATGGCACAGGCATTTCCCCTCAGGACCCTCCCACAATTATGAATATCAGCACCTCTGCAAACAGTAAGTTTTGGGAAAGGCTTTGAATTTTTATATATTAATTAATGAATAAAGAGAGATATAAAGAGGATATATGATAGCATAATGTTTAGCATGCCAAGCTCTGGATGTTGTTGTACAAACTTCAAACTGCACAGGCAAAAATTCTGCAAATAATGAATTTTTGTAGAGGCCTATTGGCTGTCTTAGTGCTGCAAGGTATAGTTGTGATGTAAATAAAGGAGATAAGTTTCTGTAGAAATTGAGGTGTTGCATTGGTGGGAGAGTACAACAAGGTAATTTAGTATTTTCAACTGAGTTGATAACATAAATTGGCCACCATAAAGAGTTTAGAAGCTGACAGATTGATCATTAGCCCCTCATCCAATCACTCTAATACTGAATTACCCTGTTATAGTTGTGATGTGTTCCACTCAGTGAATTGTTTCAGTGAAAATGCAGTGACTTGCAAATTTCTTGGTAATGGTTGTGTACCTGGAGGTATGGTATGCAGGGTTTAGAAGTGCTAAATTGTCAAAACTGGAATTGGAAAGTTTATATTTATTGCTTATATTTTATCCTTTTTTTGTTTGTTTATTTCAAGACTCAGGTGCACAGCTTAGTTCTCAAGGTGCCTACCCTCCAAATGCAGTGCAAGATGATGAGCTAGCTGCTGAGGTTTGTTTGAGAGTACTTAATGCTGACTTGCCATTTAGCTAGCCTGCATGTTAATCCAGTGCACAAGATATGGCCGACTAGCTATTAGAGCAGCAATCGAGAAGAGGGCTAATACCCCTTCCCCAGTTCCCTGTACTAGGTGTTACAGTAGTGATGTTGCTTGGGGAATGTGTCTCCAAAAAAACCAAATGTACAGTTCCCCTACCCTAGATCTTACCTGTCCTGAAATAACCATTTCAAAGCAAACAAGATTCTGAGACTGCAATAGAGTAATAAAGTGAGATTATACATGGGCACTCGTAGATATGAAATTTCTGTTCGAGTTGAACACTCGAACAAAAATTCCATATCAACAAGCAACCATGTATTATTGTGTCTATCATATAAACACGACAGCCCTTTGCTGACAATGAAAAGTCAACTTTATTAATGAATGAAAACAAACGGATCGACAATTCCCGAATGAAATTGTAAAGTGTGTTGACGCTAAGGCTCAACATGAAAAAATGCGTTGGAACACCACAAAATCAAACCATTGGCATAATTTTTCAAAACTCTGTTATTGACTTGGTCCTTACCAACAGAAGAAGTCTTTCAGGTACACGGCCAAAGTCGGACTGTGGTAAATCTTCCAGTTGTCCATTACCAAAGCCATCGAATATGCAACTTTTGGTTTTTCTTTCCGTAATTTGGTTTCCTCCCTTTCTAGGAAAGTTTGAATGTCACTGTCTGTAAGCGATACGGATTTTTCAATGTTTTAGCAGCCATGATCCGGAAAAAATTCCGTCAAATGACTCTGTATTGAGAATCGTGAAGGCTTTGCCGTTCATTCATCAACCCGACCGAGTGGCGCGAAAGGCGAATGACGTGTCAGCAGCTGATTGGCGATATCAAACACACGTGGAAAAATACGATATTTTTTCACGTGTGTTGTTAAGGCTTTTCGCAGGGCTAGAAATCCTTGTATAACCCCGTAGTTTATAAGATAAAATGGCTGTAAATAACAGAGAAGAGTAGATAAACCATGCCCTATTTCAGATACTCTGTATAAGAGACTACCCCTCTTCAGCCTGAGACTTCAATTATTATTCCTTCCCCCTCCTTGAGGAATTTGTTTCTTATTAATTCTAATCAGTATAAAATTCAACCTTATCAATTAGGGTTTTGTGCTGGTCCCATCTAATCCAGAAACTCCAAGTGAGTATTCATATTTGTTTGTATAGAATACGTCTGAAGCTACATGTATACCTTGACAAAATCATTGCTATGGTCTTCTTAATCTAAACTGCAATGCAACATACACATAATTCTGTAATTAGGATAATTTTAGATGTGAAGTTGTAACTTTATTATAACAAAAACATTTGCGTGACTCCATCATTTTCACGGTCAAGTTACAACCAAACAGAACATGATTCTAAACCTTTCGTTTTTATTACGCTGTCCATTTAGAGGTTTTAGTTATCACCATCACACTTAAGATTTTTTTAAAGAACAAGTCTTAATATCTGCTTTGATGACTTTATTTTTTCTGGTTTTAGTTTAAGTAGTAAAAACAATTATCAAGATAAAATTAGATTTAAAAAAATTAAGACTTGCTTAACCTTCACATATAAGTGAAGAACTGTACTCGACAAGAATGAATCATCAAGCTAATAATTTTAGTTTCTCCTTAAACTATTCATACACTGTCAAGCAGAAAGGTGCCGAGAAGAAATGAAATTATAAATATGGGAAGTTTGTTTGGTTTAAAACTGAATTCTCAGAGCTTAGACTAGTAGAAATGTATGGCGGAAAGAGGGAGAATTGATATTTTTATCTTGTTGGTAGAAGGATGTTATAAGATGAATTTCAATTTGTCTCCAGGATATCATCAGCAGAGGCATCATTCTGATCCGCTGTTTCCTTTCTACGGGTAAATATTCTTTCTCATTAGTTCTGCAGATTTAGTTAGGATCTATTAAAATGATACTGTAATTTCTTCTTTTTCTATAGCCAATCACCTCCAAGGACTGTCAGCAGTCCACAGTCTCCTTCTCCTCCATCGTCACGCACTCCTCAGAGAGCCACCTTTATGGTGGGTTCGCCACTGTCAGCATCCCCAGTCTCCCCACCTTCACCTCTGGTACAGGCCCCGCCTGCTCTTTCCCCATTGTCATCTCCATCATCTGCAGAATCCCCTCCAGTTGAAATCCCAATAAGAAAGCGCACAAGTGCCTCTCCAGGACCTATACCAAAGGGTCAGCCATCATCCTCTCCTCTGCCTATTCCACGCAGTGGAAGTGTACCCAAACAGGCACCCTCTCGAACCTCCCCGTCCCCTACTCACCACGGAACTAGTTCAGGCATAACTCCTAGAAAGCAGATAGTTGGCACCCCGTCCTCTAAACCGTTAGTAGGCAAGAGCCCAAATAGTAGCCCAAGTGCACTGAAAAGTGGCAGCAGCCGAAAAAACAGTCCAGCAACACAGAGACAAGCAGCGCAGGTTAGCCCCAAGGGATCTTCTATTCCTCTCACTGCTGCTGCCCAGGCTTTAAGTGTGCAAGCACGGTCTGAGATGACCGTGGGCTTGCACCAGCAAGCTCTTGCAGGATTTTCTAACACGAATGCTGATAAGGGGCTGGCACGGGGTGCAGCAGTTGGGACTTTCCGAAGAGCTCTCTCCAATATTGAACCTTTGGTTACTCAGTCACCGGACAGCTCGTCAATATTGACAGCTCTGGCTCGTCATTCAAGGTCAGGAATGGGTGTCCCAATAACAGACCTCTCTGAGCCAGGAGCAGAGACCAAGCAGATCATACGCGTGCACAGCTCGCCGGCTATACTAGCAATGGGCCTTCCAAGGAAGGGAAGCTTGTTGGCATCAACAGGGTTCCAACTAGGGGCTGCAGGGACATCTTCCGTGTTCCGTCGGAATTCAGGTGGTGGATTCACCCCCCTGAGAGGAAAGAGTCCACCTATTTCATCCTCTCCTACCGGACTTCCTACCATACCAGGCTCGCCGACAAAGACATCCCATAGTACGGAGGCCAACGATCCCACAGTTGATCCTGACAATAAGATGAAGCCCTTGAAGGGTCTTTTTACTGTTGGGTCGTGTTCGCCAAAAACGAGCGAGAATATGTTTCTACTCGGGAGGAATTCACCAAACGCGACTAAGAATGGAGAGAAACCTGCTGTTGTTAGTCAAGGTAAACATTACGTGTTAGAGTGATTTTCGTTGGAGTTGCGTGGAACCAAAACCAAGGTAATCACATCTACCAATCAGAAACCAAGCAATCTGCATAAGCGCGTGAAAAGTGGTAACAGCATGAAAAAGAAATTTAGATTTCTACCTTTTTAGTAATGGGGTCTATGTTATACTAAGAAAAATTTACAAAGAGGGATTATCATTATTTCCTTCCTTATGTGTGAATAGTAAGCAATTTTTTACAACTACTGGATGTGAGCTGCTGAGAGACCGTTCACCCTGACGCCTTGATTATCTCGACAGGAACGAAAGTCACTCTCGGATTTGGAGACAATTTTCCTCCCAGGAGCCACAAGAGGCACATGGTTGGACGAGAGGAAACCGAGGCGTCTTCACCAGACATGGAGGGCCCCATAGCTCTTATAGCTCCTGAACTGCCAGAGGATACTCTCTTAGATGTAAGAAAATAGTTATAACTGACTTGCAGCACTAGTCCATTGATTGTAATTAAACTGAACTAACGAGATCACAACGGCCAATTAAAACAAGGGAATATCTCAGTTGCATCCAATGGGAACGCAAAGAAGAACAGCAAAGCAGCCCCAAATCTGTAACCCTTAAGAGTGATTAGTATCTTATCTCTCCATACAGTATCACTATTGATTTAAACATAAAGGTCATGCGAATAAGGGAAATGATCACCCACCAGAGAAGCTCTTGACTGTTGAATAAATTCTCCATGTCAGTACCATTTGGAATGGATACAAAACAGTATGGAGAATATGCATGATGATCTTGCGGTTTAAAGGGTTAAGTGTGTGAAACACTGTTGTATTAAGTATGCATCTGATTGGTTGAGGGAGAGGTGCGAATTTTCTATAATAATAAGAGAGAGTATTGAAGCAAAACTAATTTAATCTCAAGTCAATTTTTTGCAATCAATTGAAAGTTGATCTCCAACAGATATACCATGTATATAAATGTGTATTTGCGAAGACATTCAGGGCGACCCTTATTGTCAGAAAAGCCTTCAAAGTCCCAGATAAGCTTTTATTTTTTTTTTTTAGGCCAAAGAGATTTTAATTCAGAGGTTGGGTGTTTTCTGCGATTCTTTTACAATCACAGATTGCAAAACAGAGCGAAACAACATTGTTGTTAACTTACAACCTAAGGGAAATGACGGCTTCCTATTTTCTTTCATTTGTAAAAACCCCAGATGGAGCACACGGAGGGCGTTAGGAAACTCAATTTCGTTTTGTCATTGACGGATGCCATTCTTGAGGTGATCAGTGCCAGGGGAACACCTTTTACAGTGCTGACAGACTCTGTGGCCATCCGACAAGTACGTATTTGATGTTGTTTTTTGGCTGCCCTTGGTGATTTGCGTAGTTGAACAGGTTAAAAGTCTCGCATCCGTCTATCAATGTGACGAATGAATTGTTCGATTATTACAAAAATTTTAAATCTTTGTTCTGCTTCGTAACAAATGTTTTTCCCTCTTACAGAACGAAAGCCTCCTCGCAGATCAGATTGGACTGAAAAGTGACGAGTTAAGGTAACAAATTGGATTTAAATGATATAAGTTTAATGATACACACATTTTGATGAGGTCTTACTGATGATCTATTGGAGGACAGACGCAAAGATGACATCACCATTACCAACATTTTGCATTTTGATCATATAAAATAAATAGATTCCATGTCGCTGTGGGTCTGTAGAGTAATAGATCACAGATGACGTCTAAGTGTGGTAAGAACATCAAGGACACACTCAGCTGCGCCTCGTGTGCCACGTTTTGTTCTTTCTACTCTTTGACATCATCTGTGATCTATTACTGAACTGATCCATAGTAAGATGAAATATATTTGTTAAGGGGAGGATCACTGGACTCGGATTTGCAAATACAGACTTTACCTTATAGCGAAGCATTTGGTTTTACTGAGATGTGACTTACTAAGGTTCAAACATTTTGCAGGAAAATGGAACAGTTGGTACTGTACGTGAAAGCTCTACGGGCTCTTAATCTATCTCTTCTCTTCGCACAAGGAGAAATCAGAGTTGGCCACCTAAAACCCTCCAATGCTGTCAAGAATGGTGAGTCAGATAGATGCTCTGAGGCCTTACCCTTTTCTACGGGTGCTCGTAATAAGCCTGAACGAAGCATTAAGTTTTTCTATTATCTTTGTTTACAATTTTCAGTTCTAAACGACTTGAACAGTCGATATCACCAGTGTTTGGAGAAGGCGTCCCACCTGAAGCAGCTCTTAGAACCTGGACTACAGACACTTGATGGAAAATCTATGACGGTGAGCTTACAATATGTATGTGTTAAATCCTTTCGAGAATTAAATCAGCTTTCTGCAACATAATTGCTTTGGTTTTGCTACTGTTCGCTTTGCGATTGGCGTAAAACTTTGCACCATTGTCGCTACCAAAGAGTAATATGCAGAGATTATATCAATCGTGGCTTGGTCACTCGCGTTTCCAAGCTTCAGACGAGTTTCGTCCATTTTAGCTGAATTCTCATGGGCCATTTTCAAAATATGTCTTTGTCGAATGGGTTGTTGTGATGAATGTTATTTTGTTTTGGGGAAACCTCATTACAAAGGGCGGGGCTCTAGGCTAC